AATCTCAGTCTCTGCTAGGTACACCTGTACACACACACACACACACACACACGCACACGCACACGCACACGCACACGCACACACACACACACACAGCAGAATCCCAGACCTGTAGAAAGAGCTTACCCCTCAAGAAAGGATCAAGTCAACCATTCTTGGTACCAACAGTAATAATAGCAGTAATAATGATAGCATCTTACAAGTAATAAATATGTCCTGTGTTCTAGGTTTTCTTCATGTGTCATCTCATTTCATTTTTAGAACCACTCTACAAGGTATATACTATACCATCATAACTGATTTCTAGAGATGAAAAAACTGAGATCTACTCTTTTTTCAGCAATTGTGTGTGTGTGTGTGTGTGTCTGTCTGTCTGTCTGTCTGTCTGTCTGTCTGTGACTCTCATATCACTCCAGCCCTAACAATCAGATAGACAAAAATCTCTTACCATATGAAGTATGGTGTCTTAGTTACTTTTCTTGTTGCTGAGACAAAATACCCAACACACAAAGTTAAAGGAGGAAAGCTTTATTTTGGTTTACAATTTGTAAAGATTTCAGTTTATAGTTGGTTAGCTCCATTGTAAGGTAGTATAGCAGAGGGGCATTGAAGAGAAGAAATAGTTCATGGTGGGCAGAAGGCAGCAAAGCAGTGAGGTAGTGAAGAAGCAGCAAATGAGAAGAGATGGCCCTCTTTCTGTACCTTATATGCCATCCAGATGACTCACCCTTAGGATGGGTAGCACTCATACCCAGGGCAGGGCAACTTTAATTCTAGTATGGCACCACAAATTAATTCCAGAATCTTATCCTTGATCCCAGTACTAACACTCTAGATCTAGCCACCTCCAAAAAGAACCACCTATGACTGCATGAGGTTTTGGGGGGACATTTTAACATAATCCATAACATGGTATGTTCTAGTGGGAGAAAAGTTTTTCATTTAAGGGAAACAAGAGTCAAACCCAGCCAGTCTGTCTGGAGAACCTATACAGTACTTTCAAACTTAAAAGAAGCAAACTGCTTGGGCCTGGCCACTGCTACTTCCCACTGTAATGGCTGAAATCTGGTTATATTTTATAATACATGTTAAAAGACACCCATGAGCTGGAGGCAGAAAAGTAAATCGTAATATAGCTGGTACGACTTTTTAAGTGTGGTTTTGGCTGAACATAAGTTATCTGATCACCAACTCAGTTGAATTTTTTTAACAAATATTAACATTAAATGAAGTAAAACCTAAAGACATCTAACATTACTTCCAAAAATCCCACTAGAATATAATATTGAAAGGAAAAGCTATTATGATAAAAGAGATTCCACTCCCTTTAAATATATTATACACACTATAATTAAAGGGAGTGGAAATCACAAAATCTGGAACAGATACAGAAATTTCAAAATCTAAACAGCTAGGATTCAGATGACAATTATAGGAAGTGTTTAGCTATTTAGGTTGCAGCAATACATGATCTATTAAGAGAACATAAACTGCTGGTTTAGCTAACAAAAAATACAGACCAGCCAGGTGTGGTTGCGCACACCAGTAATCCCAGTACTCAGGAGGTTGAAACAGGGATGCAGGAGGATTGCTGTGAGCTTCCGACCAGCCTGGGCTACAAAGTCAGTTCAAGGCCAACCTGAACTGTGTAGTGAAACCCTGCTTCAAAAAGACAACAAAGAAAACACAGACCAAACCTGCTATTTTTTGACAAGTCTCAACATTGCAGTGATCTCATAGACATTGAAGGGTTCCAGAGCATAAAGAACATGCTTCATGAAATGCATCACATAATTCTGGTTACACATAATTTCTAAAAACCAAATATCTGAGGAGATAGCTCAGTAGAATAAGCTCTTGCCTGGCAAGCTCAAGGGCCTGAGTTCAATCCCTGGTTCAAAAAAAAAAGAGGAAGGAAAACCAAATATCATGCAGAACATCATTAATGTGAAAAACACCTAAAATAGGATCTGGCTGGGGAAGCAGGCATGACCTATTAATTACAAGATCCCAGACACATGTGCAAAGCAGCTCCCAAAGCCCTGCACATGGACTTCTGTTGAGAACTCAAGCAGGTTTTCAATAGGGTGGCTTAGACTTGGGGTATGGCTTACACGTAGATGTGCTCCCAAAGCCTCGTATGGTGATAAGTGAGACTTTCTCAGAGGCCAAGGGATCCAGAGTATGTGATCCCTTGGGTTAAAGGTATGAGTGCTACCTGCCCTAAGAAGCCTGGATAAGATATAAGAGATAGAAAGAGTTGTGCTCACCTCTTCTTGCTTTGCTTCCTTCTTCCCATCATGAACTGTTTCTCCTGTGTAATGCCACCCTGCCTTGAAACCAGCCAACTATGGGCTGACACCTCTATGAAATGTGAGCTAAATAAATCTTTCCTCCTTTAACTTTGGGTGTCCAGTATTTTGTCTCAACTTCACAAAAAGTAACTAAGACAATTTGACATAAGTCTGAGGCACGGGATCTCACCACTGCCACTCAGGACCCAGATGCAGATGTTCTCACAGTCTTCCTCAAGATTTGGGCAGTATAAAAGAAAGGCAGTCATTAGGAGTTGGTGTTATCATACATAACTTTCTATGATAGCCCATGGCGTGTTTCAGATTCAGCATGTACTCTTATCTTTATTCTTAGCCTCTTTTCCTCTTTACTTGGCCCAAGCTCAGTCTATACAGACAGTTTTTCTCCCTCTTTATTTTTACCATCTTGAACAAACTTTGCCCCTGATTTTTTCTCATTTTGTCTAATTCTTTGTTTGAGATGAGGAAAACCTAGAATCTAAATTCAAAAGGAGAGGAAAGCAGCCCAAATGCAATAATGTTTAATTGGTGAGGCACTCTTTTAGAAACATTCTACCTGATAACACATCTACATATTCTCTAAACTCTGCTTATATAGAATGTAAACATATGAGTTAATAAAAGCCACTACATAATTTTCAAGTGTGAATATTTAAGCCCATAGTACTGTTTCTAGAAAGATACAGCTTACTCAAGGAGGGCATATTTTAAATGATTAATGACATAACTGATACCATTATCATTATCAATGGTACCTCAAAATAGAGGCAATTACATTGACAACTGCCATAAAGCACTTGCCAGACATAGTATCTGGTATTTTACATCTTTCATCTTTAATACTCAGGAAAACTCTATGAGGAGGTATCCTTAGAATTTCTATTTTACATTTGAGGGAACTAAGGTCCAAATACACCAGTAACTTCTCAAGGTCATATAGCCTGGAACCAGATCTCTCTGAGTTCAAAGCCCCAGAAGTTTCCAGGGCACTACCTACTAATAGTCTACCCCCCGCCACCCAGACACAGCAAGTACAGGTAAGCCTTCACTTGGTGAAATCATACTTAGGATCTCAAGCAGGAAGGGCCAGCAGAAATTCAGGTAGCATCCCCCAAGCCAAACACTCCTAAAATTGATCCAAATCAGGCTGTTTATATGACTATTTCCATTTTCTGAATACACACTTTAGAACATGTTCAACCAGGACTCAAATTAGCCAGCTACCTCAACATTCATGCAGCCAATCAACTGTCCAATTGTCCTAATCTGGCATCAAAATCAAGACGTGACAGTAAATAAGCTTGGTAAGAAGCAAAGCCTTCTGAGGTTAAGGCAGGAAGGGGTCTATGTCTGGGCATCAGTTCCATTCACGCTGTAGACGCTATTTCACATCAGTATTGATGGAAGCATAGGCTTCTCTAAGCCCATGGGTGTCAAGTTTGTCATGCTAGTCATCTTCTGGGGATCCATCTGAGGTCTCAAGGACACATGGTTCTATTAAGTAACTGCTTTTGTTTTTGACTGAGCTTTTCCAGGATGATGGGAACAGGAATTTGTGTTTTTCACCATTCTCAGGACATGTGCCAGTGGGCAGTTTCCTCTCTGGTTTACCATCCTTTTCAAGGTTTTTCCTTGAATATACCCTAGAAAAGAACCTCAGTTTCAGACATTAAGAGTGGACTAAGATATTTAAGATATTTAAGACATATTTACTGAGTATTTTGGAAGATGAATAATAAGGTTCCTGCCTCAAGAAAACACAGGAGTTGCCTATGGGGGATAAAACTGCTCAGAACTAACTACAGCAAACAAGAAGACATGGTGGGTGTTATTAACCTGAAACACAGAGGAGGAAGGGATTTGTTCTAAATCCAAGATCAAGAGTAACTCTTGGGGGCCTGCCCCTTAGCTCAGTTCTTTAAGTGGCTGCTTCAACAAAGCAGTCAGGCTCAGGTTGCTGTGGTTCAATCCCCACAACTCAAGCCAGCCAAACCTGCCAGAAGGCATTCTGAGCAAGCCAAAAAAAAAAAAAAAAAAAAGAGTAACTCTCATCTAACACTAACTGAGCACCTCCACAGTACTGTACTAGGTGTTCCCCACAGTACATTATCCTACCTAATCCTACCTCTACTTTGTGGAATCTGTTCTAATATAGTACTATTATTCTCATTTAACAAATGAGGACTCAGGAGGAGAGACAAAGGGCCCACCCAACCCACTTGCAAACACTAGGATTCAGATGTAGATCTGCTGGCCAACGCCTAGGCTTATGTTATTTTCACTATAATATACTACATTTCCTAAAGCAAGAAATTCCTGGTAGCAAAGGAATCTGAACTGGTTTCCTCTTCATGATACGAGGACAATAGCAATGCCAGCTTTACAGAGCTATGGTGAAGGCTCAATGAAAGGAAGAACAGAAAGACTTAGCACAATGCTTGGCAAACTGTCAGAGAACGGTAAACAGAGGTGGTTCTGCCATCGCTATTACCATCATCCCTGTCATTTCTTCCTTAAAAGCCCTGGGATGTAGTGGTAATGGGCCAAAAAGACCTTTAAAACTTTTTTTACATTTTAAAAAAGTAAGCATTTGTCTTCCTCTGAAAAAGCTTTCCTAAAACACAAGTTACTTCAGTAATCCCTTCACCAGTGAGGCTGCTGTTTCACCAGTGAGCAGAGCCATACCTTCTCTTCTGAAGAAACGGTCAACTTGTCGCTTGATATCAAGCTACACACCTGGTCCAGACTCAGGCTGAGAAACTCCTCCCCCAGCATCACCTCCGGAAAGTGCTGCTCTGTTCCAAAAAAATAAAAAGAAGTTAAGAACACAAAGCTGGAACCTACTCCTGCTCTTCTATGAGAAAATGTCATAACAATCTGCAGGATTCAGAGTGCAGGCGTGGGAGTGGGTGGTGGAGGAAGAGGCAGAGACAAAAGAAGCACAGAGGCATCCCAACTAGAGGGAAACTAGCCTTTTAATACTACAGCAAAGGCATATATCGCCCTGGGTGATCCTGTCCTGAACATCAACACAGATGAAAATGGGGCAGAGAGATCTGAAGATACATTTTTCCCTTGTTCTATAAAATTAATAACAGCCTTTCAGTAAAGCCTCCCCAGGACCTGCCTACATAATTGAGCTCATTTCCCCTCAAGGCATGAGCATGGTGCCCCCTGCAGCTTAGCCAAACAAAAATGGGTCAGAACAGCTAGACCCATTTTTGGATCTAGAAGTCTGGGGGTTCTTGTAGGAAGTCGATAGAAGGAAGTCAGATCGGATCATCCTTTCTGGCCCAAAGTCAAGCCTGTTACAGTAAGTCACTGATCTATGTGAGGAAGCCCAGCTAAGCATCCATCCAGGGTATGGTGACAAAAGGTGGCCCCACCGCCACTGGCAACAGTCTATAGCAGCCTGTTGGACATTGTAAGATGAAGAAAATGTGGGAACAGCTAGAGTAAGACAAAACCCACCTCTTATGGCCTGAGGTCCTTCAGAGGAAAATGTCAGGGATAACTCCAACTCTGACTTTTGCTTGGACATCAACCTGCCATTACAGAACACTTTTTACCACTGAAATGTCACCCACTTCAGAAAGAAGGAACTCAGGTTTAAATCCTGGCTTTGTCACTGATGAGCTATGCCCTTATTCCAATGAATGGCATCACTTTCTCAGGCTTTACTACCCTCTTCTGGAAAATGGAAGTAACATTTTTTTAGTCTTGCTTTGCTCCCAGGTACTGATGAGATTGGATCTGTGAGAGTACATTCAAAAGTGAACAGTCCGTCACTTAGCAGGCTCTGGGGATCATGGTATTCTCTGACATTTGCACCAGGCTTTGGTTCTTTCTCAGTTCTCTCAAACCCTGCACCACTGAATAGCATATGTACTCCTTGTCCTCCTGCCTCTTCTTTCTTTCCTTGGTGTCTTGCCTTCATCTTGATGGTCTCTGGGATAACCCTAAAGGGCTATACCTTCTCCCTCCTGAGAGCTACCCCTACTTGGTCAGGATGAACTATTAGAAAGTTGCTGAAATATCAAGTCTACTGCAGCTGCATATTTAAAAAAAGAAAATCAAAGCATGTTAAGCCTCTGCTTCACATTTATCAGCTTCCCAAAAGCCAAAGAACTTAAGATTTGAAACATTTTTTGAAAAACAATCATTTTTAATTTTTTAATACTTAAAACAACTTCATACTCAAAGCATCCCATGCGAATTGCTGATTTCATCAAGAATCCCTAAATGTTAGTATTTTACTCTCAGAGATATTATAAATAATTCCTTTCATCTCTCACTAGAAAAACAAATAGTATTCCTAGTTATTCCCCATCAGCCTACTGAAACCACGGTGGCCACTATTCAAGCTTTTCCGTACTGAAACCAGAAATGTTTATACATAACAAGGCAAATCAGACTCTTTATGACAGGAAGCAATAGCATAACACAGGTCTTTGTACAGCTAGTCTTTGTTTCTCCATATTCCAGTAAGAAGGGCTTTCAGTTTGAGGTCCTCAGGAAGTTGCAAACCAGCACCAGCACCTCAGTGGTCCAGAACCATAGCTGGCCTTTCAAACTTTATCTTTGGTGAAGCAAACATCTGATGTTTAGAAGAGAAAAGAGACGGAAGACAACAAACAGTGACAAGAAAGTAAAACTGTGTGTTATAAAACAAAACCAATGATTTCTTTACAGCACAGAAAACCAAAGTAGGTTGGGTTTGGATTTTGAAAAGGAAGAAGACGAAAGTGCAGTAATGCATATTCCACAAATGGTCTGATGAGCAAGCCAGAAATAGTCAGAGATAAATGAAGACAAGAAGTACTCAGCCTCTTACATCTTTCCATCTCACCCCGTGGGGCACAACAGGACTTGAATCTAGGTCCTTTCTTTCTGAAGCAGGCTGCTGTTCTGTCCATGAGCAACTTTTCACTGCAACTCATTCAGAAATCCTCCCAGAACGCAATGTCTGGTGGGGAAGGCGTGACAGTGGAAGAAACACGTAGCAACTGCTTACCCAAGCCTGGCACCCAAGGACACAGAGAATATGCAAGGCGTGAGCAGAAGAGACAAAGAAAGGGATCAGAAAGGAAATGAGCTCTTCCCACATCTTGGAGGCTATGCAGATTGCTGGGAAGAAGGCAAATATGTCTGGAAGGCTGTGGCATGGGGCCACTTTTGCTGGCTGTAAATGGGGTCTCCAAGACCAGTGTAGTCATATAGCTCTTAAAACTGAAGTTATTTATGTCCAAGATGAAACTGAACTCTACTTGGGCAAGTAATATAGTTATGTATATGAACCAGAGAACAACACAGTGACACCTGGCAGGAAACCAAATAAAACCAGAGTAATCTAGGGAATGAGAACTCATGCCACGGAAATGGTGGCTTAGTTTGTGCCAGAACTGAAAGCAACTTTCCTGTAAAGGCTACACAATCTGCTCTACCTCTGAAGGGCTTAACTAATGAAAAGTAAATAAATAAAAATGGATTTGGAAAGTATGAAAGCAAGAAGAAAACACCTTCTCTCTCTAATCTAAGGAGACAGGTTGAGTCCCCAGAATCCTTGGCCCAGAGCCCCTTTTCTGTTAGCAAAACTTAAGAAACAAGAGTATGGGGGCGGGGGGAGAACAGTAGGATCCCCAGCTAATGTAACTTCTTGGAAAATAGGAATTCCCCAAAACAGCGTATTGAAGTCAGCCTTCTTCACAGTTGCTTCCCAGAAAGTACCCACTTTCTCCAGACGTACTTTCTTATGAATCATCTTCTACTTTTAACAATTTTTTTTTTGCTTTTCTTTTCCTTTCATATATTAACAGAGAATATGGTAAAAACCCTTAGTTAAGAAAGACAAGACCTGGGTTTAGCTCCTATAGTCACTTCTTTCTAGACTTTGGTCTCCTCATTCATAAAATAGAACCACAGTTAATACCTGACCTAGGTTTTGGGATTATTCTAAAGCTCAGAGATAATAATTTAGAATAGGCTTATTTCAGAGTTTTTAAGAACCTCTTAAAGAGTGAAAAATGATTGCTATTGGCCCATGCTCCTCTTTCAGAAAGTCCAGGTCTGGAGACAGCACCATTCTTTAATAGAGAAGCTTTTTGCACAGCCTGAGACATCCCATGGGACTGCAGGGATGTGGACTATAAGTCATAAAGACTATGTTTAAGTTCACTGAATTCAATGAACTTTCTAGTGATACAAGTTATTGAATATCCTGAAGTTGTAGCTTTCCCACCTATTAAATGGGACTAATAGTAGTGTGTATTTTATAAAGGTGTTATAGGCATTAAATAAACAAATACATAAAAACTCACACGTATTGAGGTCATTATATAAGGTACAAAATACCAAATGAAACATTTATTGAAAGAAGAAGAAGAAGAAGAAGAAGAAGAAGAAGAAGAAGAAGAAGAAGAAGAAGAAGAAGACAATGACGACGACGAAGACAAAGAAGAAACTCAAGTTCATACCTACAAAGGAGTCTACTGGCTCAAAAGAGAAGTAAAATTCACTACCAATGATTCCAACCTAAAGTCCACAGGGTCAAGATTGGCAATAACGCTTCAAAGATAAGCAAAAGCACAGGAGCAGGAAAATTCAAAGCAGCGTAGAAAACACCATCAGCGGAGTCTAGCTAGAGCCTATGCTGTCTTTGGTCATCTAACAAGGATTTACTGGACATTCACTAAGCATATGGAACTGGACCAGGCTCCTGGGAATGCAATGGACAGGCCAGGCTAGACCTTGAGGGAGAGGAGAACAGCATCCTTTAACCAGAGGCTAGCCTCTTACAAGGGAGATCTCCAATAGCAAGTTCCAATTTTGTTATCTCTTCTCTGCTTTTTCCTTAAAAAGTAAAACAAAGGAAAAAGAAGTCAATTATCAACTTAGTGTGGACTGGCGTGTCCTTGGGCTAGAGAGTGGGATGTCAAGCTGCTGAACTGGAACTTTCCTTATAGTAAAGAGGGAAGAGTGGTGACCACCTGACATGGAAGCTACAGCAGGTTTAAAAATGGGTGATGCTGAGAAAGGCAAGAAAATTTTTGTACAGAAGTGTGCCAAGTGTCACCCTGTTGAGAAGGGAGGCAAGCACAAGACCAGGCCAAATCTCCATGGTCTCTTTGGATGGAAGACAGGTCAGGCTGCTGGATTCTCTTACACAGATGCCAACAAGAACAAAGGTATCATCCGGGGAGAGGATGCACTGATGAAGCATTTGGAGAATCCCAAGTACATCCCTGGAACAAAAATGATCTTTGCTGGAATCAAGAAGAAGGGAGAAAGGCCAGACTTAATAGCATACCTCAAAAAGGCTACTAATGAATAATAGTCACTGCCTTATTTATTACAGAACAGAAATGGCTCATGGCATTTGTATGTGTCCCATAACTTTTTTTTTTTATTGAATTCATTGAAAACAGAACAAGAAATGGTCTGAGCCAAAAGACTGCTCTTAAAACCGTCAAAAACATTTTAACAGAAAAAATAAACATGACTGCATTATGAATGTTTAGAAGAGTCACACGAAAAGAACTCTACTTCCCTGCACTAATTACAGTATTTAGAAAGGTATATGCCGAAAAAGTACATGACTTAATAGATCTCATATACCAGAACTCAGATCATGAGTGGCTGACAGAATACTGTTGTTGAACAGTCCTGATTTAGGTAAAATTGGCTTGTGCTGGGGAGATAGCTCAGTACAATAAGCACCTGCCTGGCAAGCTCAAGGTCCTGAGTGCAATCCCCAGTAGTGCCAATAATAATAATAATAATAATAATAGGCTTATAA